CCCCCCAAATTACAAAACCCCATAATCCTTTGAATTCCCAGGTTCCGGACTGGGACTAGAGCTGACTGAGCTCAAAGTCTCGTCCTTGACCTTCAACGCGTCCTTCTCCTTATCCTTTCCCTTCTCCTTGCCCTTCTTCTCCTTCTCCTTCTCCTTCCCATGCTTGTGATCATGCTTGTGTTTGTGCTTGTGCTTATGCTTCTTCTTATCCTTCTTCTTCTTCTTCCCCTTGCCCCCCGACTCGCCCTTCCCCTTCCCCTCCTCATCCTTCTTAAACATTCCGGGTTCGAACCCAACGGGCCCCTGCGACCCCATCCCCATGAGTCCCGGCAGTGACGCCGAATTATCCGAGTAATACTCCGTCTTGATCTTGCCCTCCCCAGGGCCCTGCGGCCCCGCCCTAACCTCAGGATTCTGTGGCTTCGGTTTCTTCACGAGGGGCCCATTCTCCCCCCCCTCAGGCCCACCCCCTCCCTCTCTAGAAGGTGAAGCCTTGCGCTTCACCACAGGCGGACTCGAGTCCACCTCGACGACATCGCTCTTCTGAAACATCGGATTCTTAACTATTCTGGGCTCCTCCCTCTCGGGACTTGCCTTCTTCGGCTTGAGGACCCCCGCCAATTCGGGTATCGGCAGGCAATTGGGCCTCTTGGTCCCATAAAGCGTGTAGTAAAGATCCACAAAGTCACACCTCAACTTGGAGTCGTGTGAGAGCATTCCATTCATAAGATTCCATATCCTGTCGACCAACTCAGGGCTGTCCAGCCTGTGCCTGTGGGCCCGCTCGAAGGGTGGATTCTCCACCATGAGCCTCACAAGCTTATGCCTAATCCCAGGGTGGGGATCCATCTCCGCCATGTCCAAAAGAAACTCCAAATCCTCCCACTTGCCATCGACCCTCGTGAAGTCCACAAGGGCCTCGAGGGCCGCAATCCTAACCTCAATGAACTGGCCGTAGGCGGCGTATGCCTTAAAAAGATTAGGATTGCTCGGCAAATGGCCGAATTTCTGGAGAATCCTGATCACCTTGAGACAAGCCACACTGACCGTGTACTTGTAGCAGGGCAGGAGTTTCTCGAGATTGAGATGTCGGGTCACCTCCTCGAGAATGGCTTTAGTGTCGATTGAGAGTGAATCAGCTGTTATGGAGGGGCCATGTTGGACGCTAATAACAGGTGTGACGGTGGCGCCAAGGGCCTCAATGAGTGCAGCCCTGTAGTAGTTATCCGAGTATCTGTTCTTGCTGTTGTCATTGTACTTGAAGAGATCCATGAGGAAGGCCAGTACCTCAGGTTGGCAGATGCCATGGGCATTCCTGAGGCCGGCCATGGCGACCGGAATGGTCTTCTGCAGGAAGTAGTGCTGAAAATTGGTGAAGTTGTTCTGCTTGATTATCCGCCGACAGGAGGCTGATCCGTAGAGCTTCCTGAAGATGGCCAGCATGGCGGGGGGTCCCGCCCACGTCCCGACCATGGCATTGGCGACTTTGGTCAGACAATGGGCGGCCCTGAGCCTGACTTTGTAGTAGCAGTGCTCGTTCTCGATGGTGTCGGTGAGGGCGAGTCTAGTTGCCGGGGTTGAGTGATGCTGGAGTGCCTCGATGGCCTCCAGCTGGGCCGTCACGTCCCTCTCGTGGCGCAGCTGGTACTGCCACTGGTAGTCCGGCTGTTCTATCTGAACGGAGCGCATCAGGGTGATGTCGGGATCCAGCCGAATCCACAGGACCGGTGAGTCGTCCATGGCGGAGAGGTCCATGTCGACTTCCTCACCCGTGCACAGGGGAATCTTCTTCTTCTTGTTCCTCCGGGACTTGCTGTGACAGGTGATGTCGGCCTTGGCCACTGTTCCCTCGATCTGGAGGGTGTGCTTGAAGGTGCCGTCCAACTCCTGAATGTTCACCAGCAATGGCCCCACGTATTTCCGAATGCCCTTGGAGCTCGAGGTGTCCTGGCGTATCTCCAGCTCGACTGTATTTCTCTTTCGATTGAAGACAAAGCTCAGAGAGAACTTGGCGTGACCCCCGGTGCGCACCCACTGGTCGATAAACACCGCCATGTCCTTGCCGGTGACTGTGAATATCGCCTTGGTGAAGACGTTGGTGGAGATTAGCATGTGGGTCCACAGGCCCGAGTCTATCTTCTGCTGGGCCGCGTTGGCCGCCAGCGACAGCTGTTTGTTGAACACCTGGAGGAGGAGCTCCTGCCCTATCCTGTGCTCCAGCATTCTGATCACCAGGTGCGCCTTCTTCCGGAGGACCTCGAGGTACCTGGGGGACATGGTGTGGAGGTTGCGGATGGGGAAGTAGAAACCGGGGTCCGGGCTGCGGGGGGCTGGCGCCGGGGTGTTGGCGGCGATCGGAAGGGGCGATGGGGGCTGGGAGGAATCCAGGATTATTCCGCCAAACTGCTCCTCGTACTTGACCACCTCCTGCAGCTCGGATTGAATCCACTGGCGGTACTCGTTGTTGCCGAAACACTTCTTCGCGTAGAGACCGGTTAGGTAGGTGGAGATACCCTTTGGCAGCCACGTGTCCGACCAGTTCTGCATCGAGATGAAGCAGCCGAAGAACTGCTCCGCTATTGCTTGGGCCATTGCTTTCTTGGTGATGTAGACTTGATCGATTATTGCGGTGGAGTGGAGGAGGTTCGTGTTGAGGATTGACATTGTCGCGTAGGCGTTTATGTCCTCGTCAATCTCATCCACGAATACCTGGGGATGATAATTAAGGGGGTGAGGATTTTTTTTGTCTCCCCCAACTATCTCGATTGTTTTTCCATCTTCATAATGTAAAATATATCACAATTTCCATTGGATTTTACATCACACAGGGGTCCCTAAAAATTATGACTGTACAATGAAAAAAAGTAGAAAAAAACTGAACATTTTCAAAGGCGTTTTTAATAAAGATTAAGAAAGAAGTCCGATGGAGAGGAAATAGTGAATGGATAATTTATCATGGTGACTAACGATTTGACAGCCATCAAATTATTAATTAGCAATTTCCTCCCTATTGGCTTTATTTCCCAATATTATTCAGAAACGCTCTCTGAAAATGTTCAATTTTTTTCAACGTTTTTTTGATTGTACAACCATAATTTTTGGAGACGTGCAAAGACTTCCTAAGTTTGGTGAATAAATTCACTGACCCCAGAATAGCCTCTTCGTGGAGGCGTTTAATCATAGTTTTGAGGATTTCGCAGTCATGATTATTGATATCCTTGGCTTCCGGATGGATGCCGCCCTATCGCCTTATACGCTCTCCCCTGCAATGGTGGCGGAGCACGTCTAAAAGACTTCGTCAAAAAAACCTGCTTAAATTCAACTTCGACGCAGCGCTGAAACCAAACGCGACATCCATCCGGAAGTCAAATGCCACAGAGATGACCATTACCAAGCCAAGTTTCCTCACCTGTTTGTAACAAGAATACGGATATCGATTGGACAGCGTCTCCTCGTAGAACTCGAAGGCCTCGTGCATGTACTTGGCCGAGACCTTGAGGGAAGGCAAGAGCTGAGGCAGACAGAAGTGTGTGACCTCGTGCATGTAAGGGTCCACGAATATCTCGAAGGGTCCCACCGCCAGGGCAATGTTGGGGGCGCAAGCCGGTGTGTTCAGAACATAATGAAATGTCTTTCTCCTCATGTCCGGAGTGTAGACCACCTCCACCAGATCTCCACAGGACACTGCAGTCATAGTCTCGTCAACGGTGAACTCCAGCTTCCAGGTGCAGGGCTCGGCGAAACTGTCGATGCAGGGGAACCAGAGTCTCGATGAGTTCTCGTAGCTGTAGGTGTACATGTGGGCTCCCCTCTCGGCCAGGCTCCCCTCGCAGTTCGGTACGACGAAGTGAACGCCGCCCTGGGGCTGCTCCAGGGAGAACTCAATCCCTATTCGGAGCTTCTGATTTATCTGGATGAGGCTCTCCGAACCCTCGGGCATCGTTATCAGGAGCTCCCCGGAGTTGTTGTCAGGGTCCACCTTCTGCGCTGCCGCCAGGTGCATCGTGGAGAAGAACTCCAGGGAGCGCTGCTTCTCGTCACCCTGGCAGATGTCCAGGAAGGGGTCGAAGTACTGGAAGGGCGCCTCCAGGGTGTCGTTCAGACAGACGCGGTAGATGCGGCATTGGCGCGCGTTCAGCCGGATCTTCAGGAGGCGGTCGCGCAGGGGGACGATCGTCAACTCCACGAAACCGATTATGCTCTTGCGTTGGAAGGAGATGCCCGTTAGGGAGACTATCTGGTGGGCTGTGCAGGGGAACGAGGCTTTGTTAGATTTCTGGGGTGTTGATGATTTTTTTATTGATGATTAATAATTTTCCAGTCAGTGCAGTGGAAAATTATTGACAAGTTTTGACGGGCGAAGATTTTATCAATAGATTAATTGAAAAGAAAATGAAACAGCAAAATCCAAAGTGTAGAGCAAGGCCCAGGGGGAGACCTAGAGGGGGAAAAGTCAAATTCATCAAAATTGTGTCTTTTGTCCATTAGAAAAATCCAAATTTACAGTTTTGTCAAACTTCATTTTTTCAAACTTCAAAACTAAAAATCCCAAACAACCAAATTCCACTGATTAAATTTCCCTCAACTTTTCCCACACGTTCTGCATCACCTCCAGTCTATAAAATCACCTATTCTACCTCTTTATACCTCCACAATGACCCCTAATCCAATTTTCACGTCTAATGAATTTGTCGTCAGGACATAAACAGACTTGGATGAACCTCTGGCCTCAAAATATTGAAAATAGGGTCTTTATGAGTGGAGAAAATAATAAATTATTGGATACTTATAGTTTAAACGGCCGAGAGTTATCGGCTGTGCGTTCCTTCTTCATATTTCCATCGAGAATTCAATAATTCGTCTCCAATTTCCAGAAACAAACTTGACAGTTTCTACGTGAATCTTTGGTTAGGGAAGCCACTCTTCCCTTCAGTCACTTGCAGTCACACGCGAACGCCATTTTCGATTGTAGTTCAGGTGCAACGGCACCACTGGCGATTGTTGTTGTTGATTCTTGCACTTTTGCTGTGTCTGTGGTGCGGCGTTTTCTGCTCCTTACGATTTTCCAACGATTTTCTTGACAATTCCAGGGTTTATGATATTTATTTGACTGTAAAATAGGAATATATTATGGCAAAACATCATCCTGACTTGATTTTCTGTAGAAAACAGCCCGGAGTTGGTGAGTTTGAGCTTCATAACCCCAAAATTCCTCTTGTGCAGCTCCAAAACGATTGATTAATCAACAGAGTAAATGACTCATTTGTCATCAGTAATAACTCAAGATCCGTAGAGTGAAATTGAACATTTTCTCTTTCATTTTGAAGGATTTTTTTTAGGGTTCAAAACGAGCCCCGATTCATCCAAATAGCATCATTTTGTCAGAAAATATTGATGATTTAAGAAAGTTCTTTCACTCGTGTTTCCTACAGCAAAAATTAGTGTTGATAAAATGGATTATTCTTCCTAATTCAGCTAAAATTACTATAATATCCTGCAGTTCACCATTTATTTAATAATTTTTGAAGAATAACTACCGTCATTCCTGCATTATTCATGTCAATCAACAATACAAAACGATTTTTCTCTCAGCCATTGGAAGATTGTGTGAAAAATGCGATGGCAAGTGTGTAATCTGCGACTCGTACGTTCGTCCCTGCACTCTAGTGAGAATCTGTGATGAGTGTAATTATGGATCGTACCAAGGCAGATGTGTCATATGCGGAGGTCCAGGTGTATCAGACGCCTACTACTGCAAAGAATGCACTATTCAAGAAAAAGACGTGAGTTTGCTTGACATTTTTTGCATAAATCTCTTCCCCAATCATTAACATCTTCTGACCTAATGATGCGATTTCAATCAATCAACATTCATTTTAAAGAATGGAAAAAAATCTTCAGAATGAAAGAAAAATTGTTGAATTTCACTCAGCCATAGGGAAGATATTGACGATTGTCTTCAATGCTTCATTTTATTTTTCATTTTCCTCTTTTTTAATAATAATAATATAGTTTTAATAATTTAATTTGTTAATGTTTCCTCTTTGCAGAGAGACGGTTGTCCGAAGATTGTAAACCTAGGCAGTTCAAAGACAGATCTATTCTACGAAAGAAAGAAATATGGGTTTAAAAGAAGATAAACATAAAGAATTTCAGAAATAAATACGACAATAATGAGTAATAAACAATGAAAAAAGTTTTTAACATCATCTATACTTTATTATCTCTACTTTCATGATTAAAATACTCCAGACAAAACCATTGATTGGAATGTCCCGACGTCTGAATGCTGCTTGCACATATGTATCATTCGTTAAAATTCTCTTTTATCGTTTAACATGTAATATAGAAATCTCTAAAAAATATCGTCGAGGTTAAATACAGTGATTCAGTTGGCCTGGATAATTAGTGTTGGTTAATACCCTCGAACAAAAATAAGAAATGATCGAGTTGATTTTCATCCACTGGTTAATGTCAAAATTTTTAAAAATAAAGTAAAATGTCTTGACACTGGATTCGACACCATAATTCTGAAATTGATCTATTAAAAAGCCTCCCAACGAGTGGATAAAATTACTAATTTAACATTTTTCATGAATAATAATACTTTACGCAGTAGTTGCAATTGGATCTACAATTTTATCACGAATTCTACAGTCTTAAACACTCGGTGTGCCCTAAAACATCATTTTCTACACTATAATAGTCCCTAACTGGAGTTAATTTGCCTCAAAAATATCCTCACATTTGGTTTATTACTCTAGTATTGACTGAGGACAAACACAATTAAACATATTCGTAATTTTACAGCTGATTAATTGATTGAGTTTAATATATTAATGAATTAATAGTAAAAATAATCCTTGCAAAATTACGACCTAATTTCGAATGTCTGAAGAATATTCATTATCTCCATTCACTAGGTAATATTGTCGTTGCCTAAGTTGTCATGTTTCCGTTGTCTTCATTGTTTTATTTTTTACGCATTAGTTTTTCTTTTAATTCCCCTCGTTATGTACAATTTCCTTCTTACGCAAGTGGAAGAGTCTATCGTAACTTTTTAATATCGCGATCACAAAATATATCCTGTACATTATTCGTTAACTTATGGAGCATTATTTCTTCTCGAATTGTCACGTGGAGCTTTATATTTCGTATGAAAAATAGTTTATCATTCTGGTGATAATCGTAACACTTTTAGTTTCAATTGTTCGAGCTTTCGTGATATCTGGTGAGATACGTTTCGATTCAGGGGGGGAATGGACCAGGGTAACTCCCGAGTCAATTAAAATTTTCGTCCTCATTAGATGAAACTGAAAATGTAAATGTTGGATATTTTTCCCCAGTGTCGGAAAATTGGGGATTATCTCAGGAAGGAGTAAGTTTAGAGGAAAAAGTCACTAAACATTTTTTGTTGGAAATTTAATTCTCTACAACAAACGTCTTCTGACATTTTCCCCCAAGCCCTCTAATTTTCGAGATAACTAAACAATTCCTAAAAATGTCGAATGTAACTTCCCACGATTTATCAATTTTCCTCATCAACAAAATACCTAATTATCTCGAAAACAATTAGATTTAGGAAAAACTGTCATAAAACCTTTTTTATAGAAAATTGAATTCTCCACAAAAGATCGCTCTTGACATTTCCCCCTAAACCCCCTCATTATCAAGATAACCCCCTATTTACCCAGATACCTCCTCATCCATCAAATCTCTTCTCCAAAAAAATCATTCTCCCTCAGTCATCCCTCCCTCCGCCTCCTCATGAATTCCTCCCTCTCATCTAGACAATGATGAGCTAGCGACGGACCTCCCACTGACACCAGACTGAAGACTCATCATGGACCCCCTGTAATGAGCCGAGGGCAGAACCTCGTAAAAGTACATCAACTGGGCCTTGTGAGCGCTGATAGAGGGAAGAAATTCCCCTTCATCAGGATTCTTCCACTGGAGAATGTAGGTCCCTGGCTCCTGGATTATGTGGGTCCCCTGGATGCTCTCTCCATCGTGACAGACAACACTCGACTCGACCTTGACGCAGTCCACTCCCTCCCTCCACTCCTTCATGAGAGCCCCATCGAGTTGATCAGCTTGATCACCTGGGGCTGCACCATTTGGTGACAGATCCACGTCTGGCTTCTCGTGAAGAAGTGTGAAGATGACGTTGTGACGCATCACGTCAAAGTCCCAGGTGAGAACAGCTCCTGGATCGTTTGTGTTTATCGCCACGTGGTGGACCTGACCGTGGGAGAGGCTTATCGAGTGATAGAGGCTGTGCTCGTGATCGTTTGAGGGCTCCAACTCTAGGCGATAGAGGTTCTTCGGCACCACGCCACCCTCGTTCACATACGTCTGGAAGATAACGAGGGGTTCTTGAGGATCGTTTGACTCGCGCGACCATTTGACCCTCAGCCCCGAGCGTAATTGAGGGTCGTTTAACCCTCAAATGGTCCTGAGGGTTATGTGGCTTTCAAATGGTCTTGAAAGTGAATTAAGGGTCAATTTGACCTTCAGCCCCGAGTGTAATTGAGGGTCGTTTGACCTTCAAATAGGGCTGAGGGTTATTTTGCCCTCAAATGGCCTTGAAAGTGAAATAATGATCATTTGACGCTCAAGTGGTCTTAGAGTCAAATGACCTTTAAGAATAGTTTGGCCCTCACGATCATTTGACTCTCAGCCCCGAGTGTAATTAAGGGTGCATTTGACCCTCAATCATACTGACGCGCAAATGGTTTTGAGGGTCAAATGACGCTTGAGGATTTTTTGGAATTCAGAGGCAAATGGTCTTGAAAATGAAATGGTCCTTGACTGAGGCTCAAGGACTTTTGGACCCGAAGGTCAAACAATCCTTAATGAAGGGTCGTTTGACCCTCAATACGTTTACGTATGTCTGGAAAATAATCACATAAAAATTTGTGGTAAAAACGACAGTTTGATAATGATACATTTAGGTGAGTCGTGGACATTTAGATGAATTTCTGAATATCAGTTGGGTTGATATTCATAATTTATTCAGTGGTTGATTCGCGATGGAGTTGAGGACGTGGTGATCACGATTAAGAGCGCTCTCAAGTGTAAAAAAAACTACTGAAATACAGAGAAAACTTTGTGCCATGAATTCTCCGCTTAAAGGGGATGGAAAAATCTGAAAGATGGCTTAATAAAATTGTTCATTTTACAACACCAGAGTGAAGTGAGTTGAGGGCGATGTAAAGAGTATAAATAATTATAAGAAATGTTCAAAAATGCGAGGTGGACGACTGGTCTGGACACCGCCATCTTGTTTGGATACTCCCTACCATTGTCACAAGGGGCTTTCAAGATGGCGGCGCCTCAACCTCGTATTTTTAAACATTTCTTAAAATTATTTATCCTTGTCAGATTACCCCCAACTCGTTTGATTAGATTTATATAGAATGAACAATTTTTTTAAGCCATCTTTCACATTTTTCCATCCTCTTTTTGCTGAAAACTCATGGTTCAGAGTTTTCATCGAACTTCAGTAGTTGTTTTTTCTACTCCCAAGGCCTCTTGACATTTTATGAAATGAAATTCTCGTGTATTCTCATCATCAGTTTCATGTGCTCATCCAATAACTACTAATGAAAATTTGCCAGTGACAATGACAATTAAACATCATAAACAACGTGATAATTTGCAATTTTCACAATTTTGATTTTGAATTACACAATTGCACTTTAATTTCTCAATATTCTTACACTGCTGCAGGGTGTCTCGTTAATGTAATACCTCGGTGGTATTGTCAGTTGTTCAACAGAAATACCCTCCTGATGCCAATTCAATCAATTGAAATTAAAAGAATCGAATGAAAAAGAGAAGAGAATTTCAGTTTGATTAAACTATTCAAATAAAATGTATCATTTTGGTAGAAGAATTATTATTTTTTAGAATCGTTCACCTCTGATGGGCCCCCGAGGAAGTCAGGAATGTACTCTGCATCTATATAATCAGTCAATCCTCCTTCATTTTGCTCTTGATAGTCAGTTCCACAGTAGAAAATAAATTTATTTCTCGTATTTTCATCTGCAACAGAACCATTTTTTATTTTTTCATTTTTTTTCTTCAATTGTGAAATATTTATAATGTTCAATAAATAGATGTGAATGACATAATTTGCATTGTTGTAGAAAGCTTCATCAATTTTCTGTTTAATTATTCATTCATTCATATTTTTTTTCTCTTTTGAAATCATTTGACTGCAGAATTCAGTAATTTCAAGGACAAGATTTCTTAGTACTTTCAAGGGTGGTTTGACGCTCAAAACCTTTTGAGGGTCAAATGACCCTCAAGGTCTTCAAGGTAAAAAACCTCAATTAAGGGGCGTTTGACCCTCAATGATATTTCGAATTGAAGGTTAAATAGTCGTGGGGGTCAAAAAATCGTTAATAAAATTTGAAGTTGTGGGTCAAATGATCTTAAGAGCCGGTCTGACCCTCAACCCACACGACCTCAAGCGTTACTTGACCCTCAGGAGGATTAAATGGTCATGAGGGTCAAAAAACCCTTGAGAACATCCACTCTTGAAGGTCAAAAGGTCTTAAAATTAACAAAAAACCTCAATTAAGATAATTTGACCTTCAAGATCATTGGAGAGACAAATAGTTTCGAGGGTCAACTGTCCTTTAAGGTCATTCATATTTCCACCAACAAAGTCACAATTATCGTCAGTTATAATAAACCACACTATCAATTTGTTTACTTGAAAAAAAAAATTCTCACGTATAAATGTACTGATGAGTGTCCACAGTATAGGAAAGCATCGTGGAGCTCTAATTATCAATACACGTCCCATGGTCTCAGGATAATTAGCTTCAACGATCTCAATAATCCTCAGAAGTGCCTGAAAAATCATAGAAAATTGATGAACAAGGTTTTCCATAATTATGTTTGGGGGGTTGCTACACACTTTGATGCCAGGCCTCCACAAATGCCTCATATTGAGCCCCTCGAGATCGATGAGGAGACACCACTGGGACACCGGATGCCCAAGGACGGTGGTGGCCTCCTCCATCAGCGACAGCCCCTCCTCGCATATGTGTAAAGCCTGGAAAATAAATATATTCGTATCTCTTGACTATAGGATTATTTCAAGGATTGGTTTAGTTGATGGGGTATAACGTACGAGTAATAATAATTCATCCTCTCCGATCGATTTGAGCAATCCCTTGACGTCCATTTGGCCTAATCGGAGAATGTAGAGGGGGCGACCATCTGTTAATATACAAAATTGTAAGAATATATTTTTTATCACTCAGGGTGGTTGTTGACATTAGTTTTGAATGGAGGGGAGAGTGTTTCCTTCATTCTGAAAATTTGGCACTGCTGTTTTTGCTGAATAGCTCGGAAGGGAAGGGAGACAGCGAAAATTTTGTTTAAACTTTTTTTGCAGCTCTTCAAATTCCCTACAAAAAAGATTCTACAAAATTCTTGATATCTCTCATAAATCCTGAGATATTCAGCAGAAACGAATTTGAAGTGCAATTAAGATTTTGGTATTTGGATTTTTTGTAACAATAATTTGCCCAGGGATTATTATTTTTTAGTTATTGGTGATTTTGATCTTGGAATGAAAATAACATTGGAGAGTTCTGGAAAAAAAAACGATTTGTTATTCGGTGGTGTAGAGTCTCCAATAACCGAGCGAATCAACAACTACAATGTGAAAAATTAATCAGAATGTAAAGGTCTGTGTATTATGTCAATATATGTTGGAGGAAAGGTAAATCAACTCAATTCCAAGATAAATTTTTTAGTATCTGGAAATTTTGAAGGAAATGGGCAAGTTCTTTCGGAATTTTTGACAGTTTTGGTGATCTCAAGGGTCAAATGGTTTTGAAGGCCAATTTGACCCGAAACTTCACGTCCTCAAGGATCGTTTGACCCTCAAAACCATTTGAATGTTAGATACTTTTGAGAGTCAAATGGGCCTTAAAAAAATGTGGGTTTGAGGATCAAGGCGTCTTGAAGGTCATATGACCCCTCGGGTAAAACAACCTCAAGGGTCAATTTGACCCTTCAAGTCTCGTTTCACCCTCCCCTAAAACAAAAAAAAAACTTTCCAACAAACAGATGAGCAAACCTACCTTTATCACAATGATGCCACCCCCCCGGAAAATAATTCTTCACAACCTTCGGTGCCTCATACTCCTCCAACAACCTGTCAATCTGATACTTCTTCCTCCAGTGAAGCGACTGCGTAAGCATCTCCTTGGACTTATCCACCATGAACTCCCTGGCCCTCAGGAACCTCAGGAGTGTAGCATCACTGGGTACAGAGGCGCCCCTTAGCTCCTGGATACTGTTCCTGAGCTGCACGAGTCTGCTCTCCTGCATGAGGTCCAACTTCCCCAGGTACCGCTCGATGTAATCCGAAGACAACTGTGTTTTGCTGGACGGCAACTTCCCCTCGGTCTCACTCTTCTCCTCGATGATGATCTCCTCGTCCTCCAGGTCTTTCTCACCCGAGTCCATGAGTTTCTCTGGCTCCACCCACGCCTCCACCGAGGTCACCCCTTCCTTCTTCAATTCGTTGATGAAGAACTCGATTATCTCCTTTCCCTTGGCGATGTTCTGCGCGTATTGCTTCATCGCCAGCTTCTCCATTGCATTCTCAAATCCGAAGAAATTCTTTATGTCGAGGCTCGCCGTTTGCTCGAAGCACGTCCACTCTGGATTCTCCGGGTGAACGAAGTAACGACATTTTTCTACTACGGCAACACGTGCCGCGAATGACTCGTTCCAGGCCTCTATCTCGAGAATGGAGTTCCGTCGGTCCAGGACATTCTTCTGGATAAAGTAGATGAAGTCGACACCAATGATTTTTTTAAGAATGTAGGGGGCCTCGACGTTGAGCTTGCAACGGCGCTCGGTGGTGCGGATAGCTCCGTTCTGGGACTCCTCGTCAAGGGTCACCTCGCAGCCGACGAACACCGGGATTTGGGGACAAGTCGGGAAGCGCTTTTCGTATGCCTGGGGGAGAGGTATTTTACGGCTGAGAAAAAGAATTTTTTCCCCTATTTCTGGGAGATTATAATGTGTTGGATTTCCCGACGCGTCTTCAAAGGGTGTTTGACTCAGTCGCGAAGGTTATTGAAGGTCGTTTAACCCTCAAGACCTTGTGAGGGCTAAATGACCCCTGGAAGGTTGCAGTTGAGGGTCAAGGGGCCGTGAAGGTCAAATAACGGTTAATTAAGAGTCGTTTGACCCTCAATTCGGAACGTCTTTACGGATCCTTTCACCCTCTAACGGCCTTGAGGGTTAAGCAAGGGTCATTTGACGCCAAATGCACTTGAGGGTTGAATAGCCCTTAAGGGCACTTTGAGTTTAGGGTTAAAGGTGTTGAAGTTCAAGTACCCTTTAATTGAGGGTTATTGACCCTGAGAACTATTTGAGAGTGAAATGACCTTGAAGGAAGTTTGAAGGTAAAAACCCTGAATTGAAGGTCATGTGGCCCTCGGCGCCATTTGAAAATCAACCCTTAATTAAGGGTTCTCCATTCGACAAGTCTTTATGCGCCGATTAATCCTCAAGATCATTTGAGGGTCAACTTACTTTCAAAGACGTTTCGAGTTGAGGGTCAAACGACCCTGAATTAGGGCTTCAACGTTTAAGATAATTTGACCCTCAAGTCCAACTTCTTTAAGGGTCATTTGACCCTCAAATGGTCAAATGATTCTCAAGACTATTTGAGGGTCAAATGACCTTTAAAGACGTTTCGAGTTGAGGGTCAAACGACCCTCAATTAAGGGCTGCAAACTTCAACATCGTATGACCTTCAACTCCGAACTTCTTTAAAAGTGATTTGACCCTTACATAGTCTTGAGAATTATTTAAGGGTCGTTTCACGCTTGAAATGCAATGTGTTGACTTTCTCCAAAGATGGAACATCTCTGATGAATGTCACTAACAAATTAAATTGTCAGAACATTTTTTAAAAGGGCCAAAGCCATTAATTAAATAATTCTTCGGATAATTAATGAATAAATGACTTTTAAAAACTCAATGTCCGTAATTTTCAACAAATAACAATTCTCGTTCTTTGCTAAATCTCTAATGACTCTCTGACAACCGACAATTTGTACATCGTGATGAGTGAAAAATTGCGTGCAGCAAATCGACAAGTCACGTTAAATTTAAACATTAATTCGAGGTACGACACAGGTGACACGTGAGCCGATACTATCGTTTCTGTATTTATCTCTCAAAAGGCTTTAAATAAATTCGTAAAAGCTCTATTTCTCGGTTTCCACACGAACAGAGGGGCTCAGGGAATTGAATGAATTATGAGGCGCGTATTATTGCGGGGTAAATCGTCTTGGGAATTATTTCTTAAGTGGCGTGAGGGCTTTCGGAGTATTTTTAAACCGATCAGCTATTTTCTTTAGTTTCCATTGATTTTCCGTCCCCTGCGGCCAGTGCATGACGTTGTTTCTATGCAATGGATAATGGTACATGTGAGAACAGATGAATTAGTAATTTTTTTTTCGGAGAATGAACTTTTTTTACTTAAGTAATGAGAGAATTAATGAATGTTCAATTTTTTTAATCGTTTTATCGTTTTGGAATTTTGATTTTGTGGAATATCTCAGAAATGGACGGAGATACGACTTTTTGTGTCTAGATATTTCTTGTAAGTCCTGACATATTCTAGAGAAAAGGTCCTAATGACGATTTTGAAATCTCCGTTAGATTTGGGAGGTATTTAGAAAAATCTGAAGGATGAAGGAATGAAACGAATAAAATTGATTTCGTTTTAATTTTTGATGAATATCTTGAAATCTATGGGAGATAGAAGAAAATTACTCAAGCCTTTTTGGTAGCTCTTAAAATTTCCTGCAAAAATGGCTTCAATGACATTTTCCATGCGTCCCTTAGGTTCCGAAATATCGAGCGACAACAAATGACAAAATGCTAGAATAAAAATAAAACTCAACTTCAAAGTCGTCAGTTTTTCCTAAATATCCCGAAATCCAACAGAGATACGGAAATTATCATTGGGACCTTTTTTGTGGCAAATTTCAAGCCCTATAAGAAAGGTCTTGTATGTTACCCTCATATCTCCCATAGATTTCAAGATATTCGCCAGAAAGTGAAATCAAAACCCCAGGAAAATCAATTTTCCTCGTTTTGCCCCTTTCAAAAACCCTCCCACCGCCCCTAGAACCCAGTGCCCCCTTTAATTCTCTCCCAACAAAGCGCATAAACATTCAGCAGTGACCCTTGACATTCCCACAAACTCGATAAGCCCTCAACGTGCCAGTGAATCCATATCTCTATCCAAATGTCATCACGTGCACGTAACAACATCACAGGTACATACTACGTTCCAGCCACCCAAATGTCCTCGAATGACCCATGTTTTGATGATATCTAATGACTCAAGATGATTAATTAAATCCAAAACAAACCAGCATGACGAGGGGAAAGGGGTGCTTGTAGACCCTCACGGGGGACTGATATTGCTGGACCATTTTCACTATTTTAACACTCGAGGTTTTCTCCAACTGCACTGTTAATTGGGTTTAATCATTTAATCAATTGATGGGTGAACTTGGGGGTGGATTTTTGCACTGTTATTTAATACTTGTCACTGGCACCGATGTCACGGGACGAGTGAGAGGCGCTTGGTCGGAGTCGCGAGGTCTTTTAACGCCAAGGCGCATACGCAAGTGATGATTTTCAATCGTCAATATCTCAGGTGCGGGGGGACGAAGCAATTTGAATGGGTCAGGGCTCGATTTGAAGGGGGGAAAAATACCTTTGAAATGAAGACAAAAAGGTGGAATTTCACTCAGGGGGTCTTGAGATATTGAAGAAATTACAGGCGATTTTTTTTGGGAGGAGAATTGATTTTAATTTCTCGTGTGTTTGAGTCGGGATATCTTGGGAAGTAATGATGAGATTTTGATAAGTCAGTGCTCGTTTTAAAGAGGGGAACAATATCTTTGGAATGGATGGAAAATTGGGAGAATTCACTCAGCGGATGCCGAAATGTGGAGGGATGAAGACGGGAGGTTTTATCGACACTTTGAGGTTGTCTTTTTGTTGTGAGATGTGAGGCTCAAACGGCTCAAAACACTTATCGGGGTTTTTTAATCGGCTTTGGGGGGCTCGGGGGTCTGTGGAGATTTGGGGAGATATTTTTTACAGGGATTTTGGTGGCTCGGTGTGGGGAGAACAGGAATCAGTGATTTTGGAGTGATTGTTTTTGATTGAGGAAATGTTGGGATTTGGAATGCTCTTAGGGGCTGTTCTGATGGGGCTTGGGGGGGCTGAGGGATCTAAGGGGGATCAATCACAGTTCTATAGACAGTGTTTGTTCAAGTGTTATTCGGAGAGCTGTCGGCACAGTGAGTTCAGTTTATTTAAATAATTGAATTCATCTTTTGGAGATTTTCATGAAATTGTTTCCACATTTTTAATCGGTGATATCTCGTAACCTAATGACGCAATTTTTATGAGTCAAAGTCCATTTTGAAAAATGAAAAAATATCTTCAAAATGAAAAAAAAATTGTGGAATTCCACTCACCCGATGTCGAGATATCGGAGTTTGAAAAACTATTTTTAGTATTATCGTTTTTATCTTGCAGATGTGCAATTCGAGATTTCAGAAGTCTCTTTATTATCGTGGTCTTGCGAGGAGGATTGTAAATATGACTGCATGTGGGATACGGTGGGACACTTCATGGAGCATGGACTGCAGGTCCCCCAGTTCCATGGAAAAGTATTGGTGACATTTGTTTCCTTGGAGTTGATTGAGCGATTCTTTTTATTCTGAATTTTTTTGGCTTTCAGTGGCCCTTCGTGAGGATTCTGGGACTTCAGGAGCCAGCCTCTGTTATATTCTCAGTTATGAATTTTTATGGGCACTTTGCGATGTACAGGAGGTTCAGAAAGGAGGTCAGGTCGTCGTATCCAATGTCTCTTATGTGGACTTATCTAGCTGTTGTGAGTGCTAATTCGATTCTCAATTAATTCCCCATGTTTTTTTAGGGGAATAAAATTTTCTAGACAATATTCTGGTGATATCCTCTATTAAACTCATTTCTATGGAAGTAATTCCTTCATTAATGAACGAAAAAAATTATTTTAACAGTGAAATTTCACTTTTAGGAATTTTACTTTTTGTAAATGGGAAATTATCTTATTACCGAGTGGTTTTAGCCTAAAATGTCATAAAATCTTTTTTGTGTAGAATTGAATTCCCCACAAAAAATGCATTGTGACTTTTCCTCCTAAATCCACTCAGTACCAAGATAATCCGAAATTAACATTAAATTCGACATTTCAGGTCTGTATGAACGGCTGGTTCTGGTCAGCAGTCTTCCACGCTCGTGACAGACCCTTCACCGAAGTAATGGACTACTCCTGTGCCTTCACGATCGTCGTGACCCTCCTCTACTGCATCCTCGTGAGGATATCCCACAGGGGCAAAAAGGCATTCGTCGTGATAACATGCGCCTACCTCAGTATTTTATTCACTCATCTGTCACATTTGTGGTCTGGAAGGATCAACTATGGGTACAACATGAAGATGAATATTTTTTGTGGTAATGAATCCTGTATTTATAAATTAGTGTCACCTTTTTTGTCAGCAATTTATTTCGCCAGGGATGGCCTTAAACATAGGGACAAGGATAATCTTTGTTTAAGATCCTAGATTATACAAATCTTTGTTTCATATTGCTTTTTAAAAAGATATTTTCTGAATACAAAATATATATCATAATATATATTATGATGTATATTATATATTATGTTTTATTTATGATATATAATGTATAAATAAAATATAATATATATTATTAATAATCCAACTTTCAAACAATTTCGATATTAATTTCAGTTATTTTTCTAGGATTTTTGACCTTTGTGATCAGCATGGTCTGGTGGTACAGGAATTCCACAAAATTAAGGCATTTATACCTCATGGGGTGGTTTAATATTCTATCAGTAGCTGTGACACTCCTCGAATTGGCAGATTTTCCCCCGATTCTTTGGATTTTTGATGCACATTCCCTGTGGCATGCCTCCACAGCTCCATTAGTCTATTTTTTATACAGGTAAATAACAAATTGAAGAATATTTTTGCAGAAAAAATTTCTTCTGAATATTCACTGCGTTTTCTCCCCAGTTAATTAATTTTATTCACGAGAATTCAGTATTTTACTGGGAAAAATGACGTTTACTTTAAGATGTTTTCAATAGGAGAGAGTGGGGACAAATGAAACAGTCGATAAACCACTGTTTGACGCAATTCAAGCAAAAAATATTTTTTTATCAACTTTTGTTCATTAAATTTTTTCTATTATTCGGAGTACTTATGGAAATATTAATTTTCCATTCAGCAGATTCAATTTTAGTCACAACCACTCAGTTTTTTATGAACAAAAAAATGATTTTTGCTTTCAGATTTATAATACTAGACTGCCAATACTTGAGGAAGCAATACAGTCAGGTAATAATCGATAACAGACATGTAGAGTAGAAAATTCCATGACGAAAAGACACTAGGAATCGATAAACCTCGACATGACCTCTTAAATAATATATATTTTATTTAAAAAATTCTTTACATTGTATTAACGAAACGAATCATCTATAATTTATGATCAGGTAATCCCCTTAATTTAAAACATGACGAATGGTTTCAACACCGAACATTCGAGTAAGCACGCAAGTCTAGTGATGAACAGATATCAGACTTTTATCGTAATTTAAAAAAAAAATTCATGATTTAATTTCTTAAACCATTTTTGGGCACTCGTTACTCTCGAAACTAAGATTTTCAGATCGTTAAATTGAATTTTAGGCGAAATAGGAATGTTTTATCAACAACTAATCAATTTGAAATATCGATTTCAACTTGAGGAAAATGGTTTAAGTACCAAAATGCAGATTTTCATTCTCCAAAAGTCGTTCATTAACTAATGATTTTTTTTAATGAATGAATTGTTCTTGCGATGACAACAAGTGAAGCAATTGCTCGATATATTATTGATAATGATTTGAATGCACCTAACGAAAATATTTTATCTAAAATACGAAAATTAGAAATTCGTAAATTAAATATGACTATCCTGTCTTCGAAATAAAGAACGTTGTGTAAATATTTAATTACATAGTTATCACCTAGAGCTGCGTATAAAAATGATCGCACATTCCTCCATACAATTAATTAAATTGTAATTAAATTGTTTTCATCGTCAATAATCAAATTGTCAATTGTAAATAGTGACAATAATTTTTTTTACCAACCTTAAGACGTTTAAGATAACCATTCAAATTAAAAAAAAAATTTTTAATGCCTCTGGATCACAAGATAATTCCCAAAAACTGATTTTCAATTGATTGTAATTAAAAAAATAGGATTTAAACACGAAATAGTTAAAATTTTAGGATTTTTTCCGAGCAATTGAGCTCCAAAGGCGAGGATCAGCTGCTGCAGGAGATGTTATATAAATATTTAATTACATAATTATCACCTAGAACTGCATATAAAAATTATCGCACATTCCTCCATACAATTAAGTAAATTGCAATGAAATTATTTCCATCATCAATAATCGAATTGTAAATTGTAAATAGTGAAAATAAATTTTTGTAACAACCTTCAGACATTTAAAATAACCATTAAAATTGTTTAAAAAATCTTTAGTGCCTCCGGATCCCAAAATAATCCCCAAAATTCGATTTTCAACTGAAGAAATAAAATTTAGAGGTGAAAATTTGGTGATTATTTCCCATAAATCAAGCACCAAAGAGGAAAACCAGCACCTGCAGTAGATGTTACTCATAAAATACTGATCTTTCACGTAAAAAAAAGATACTCAAACCATTAAAAACTACTTCACATTAATCAATTAGTTAAAAAATAACTGGTATTGGAGTTATTTTGATGGGATTCTGCCTTTCGTGAGCTATCACATAAATGCAAGGCATCATTTCGTCGAGTGCTACGTTAAAAACTCATTATTATAAATACATAAGGCCATTAGTACGTAATTACAGGCTCAAGTCTTCTCTTTTTCACAATTCTGGTCTTTCTCATCTGTTTTAATTCAAAGAAAAATATTTTTCTCCCAATTGAAATAGTAAATGGCAGTTTCTCATGTTCTCAATTTTTTTTCCTCTCAATTTCTCCTCTCAATGCTTGAAGAGTGCCTCATGCTCGGGATTGTCATCCCTATGTTTTTCTAAATTACCAGAGAGAGTTGGGTCTGGCCTACGACGTTTGAAAAATCCAAGTTTCCATAGGACGATTATTAAAAGGATTAAAAGTAATAATCCAGCAACGATGGCTACAATTATTATCCAAATTGGGACTGGCTCCGCGTCCTGCTGGTCTCCAAGGTCTGGATATGCAATGGTTTCAGCCTAGAAATGACGAAAATAACACGAAATTAATCTAAAATTAATTAAAAATTGAGCAAGTTGATGGGATTTATTGTATTTATTACGATTGCATGATCATTCTTGAGGTCTTCCTGCTGGATCTCGATGTTGGGGGGAATGACGATCCTGGCGTTGGATCCTATCTTGACTTTGTCGACTTTGGGGTAGTCCTCGACGAGAGTTGAATTCCAGAGTCTGAAAGCAATTACAAGGGAAAATTTACGAATGCTCTGGGGATCGAATAATTGAATGATGATAATGATGATGTTTACCTGGCCTTGACAGTTATCGTGGCCTCTTGCTTTCGTTCTAGATTGTAGATTATACAGCGGATGTCGAAACACTTGGCAGTGCCGGCTTTGCAATTCTGTGGATGAATAAAAAAGATTAAATTGTTAAATACAGCATTTTTAAAACGAACTTTTTCATTGAAAATGTAATTCTGTGTAAAAAAAGGGTTCGTGACATTTTTTCGCCCATCTCCTTGTTTTCGAGATAATTTGATATTTCGCTGATGAGAAAAATTGATAAATCTTGGGGAGTTACGTCCGACATCGTAAAAAAATCGTAATTCTTCATGATTCGTAATTCATTCATTCATCCTACATCATCTTCTTTTGACCTGCCACTCACCATGGACACCACCTGATGCCGATGTCCATCATCATCGACGACAGTCCTCGTGTTGACCACCTTCTCCGTGTCCCTCCTCTCCCTAACACGATTGGCAGTCGTCCTGTTCCTCCAGTAGGCGGCAGGGGCGCCTTCCCCTGCGTTGAACAGGGGATCGAGGTCCTCGTAGCTGGAGCTCCTCAGCAGATTCAGAGGATTCTCCTTGAAGCCCGCCGGAAGGAAGCACTCCCCCGAGTGACTGATGATCGGTTTGTCCTCGAGGTACAGCAGCCACTTGCCATGAGGCTTGTCATTAGCCACTTCATAGGGCCAGGAGATGAAGACCTCGACCGTCCGGACCTTCCAGGGTCCCTCATTGAAAACTTCGTAGATGTGAGAGACCTTGGGGCCGACCTGGTCCAGTCGCTTGATCGCAGACTCACCCACAACGTCACCCCCGTAGTACGCCCACTGGGTCTTGGCACTTCCCTTTATCGACAATTCCGCCCTCTTGACGACAATCGCTTGTAAATTGACGGGGGACTTCTTGCTGACCTCCTGGGACGTCGAGTTGGCGAAGATCTTGAAGCCCAACTGGGGCTCGTTGTCCTCGACGCCTTTTGGATCGAAGCGGATCTGGAGGCTGACAGCGTTGTCCTTGCGGAAGGGGTTGCCGATCGCGCAGATGACGAGGGTTGCGTTGTGGAGGTTGCAGATTATGGACTCGTTGCTCTTTGAGGCGATGTAGTTGAGGCTGGCGGAGTGAGCGACGAAGAGCTGGGCCTCGTACGCCGACTCGCCGATGTTCACTGCGTTCACGTCCACTATCACCTCCTCGACTTCCCCGAGGAGGAGCTCGTAGAAGCTAAAGGGGGCGAATGGATGGGGTGAGAATTTCAAAGTAGTACTAGGGGTGCAGACGCTTATAATGTTGAAAATAGAAATAGTAAATGTTATAATAAATGATAAATAGTTCAGGGTCTCCAATTTTTGAGCTACAGAGGTTTTTTTTTCAATTTTTGGCATTCATGTAAAATAGGCTGGAAAATTATTCTTAAAATATTTTAGCGATTACATGGCTTCCACTCAGGAGCACCAAAAATCCATACTCACTTTGGTTTAATCGGTGAAGGGGCCAGTTTCAGTTTAGCCTCGACCCTCATATCGCTCTCGCAGATATCATTGTCCCCACAATCCTTCTGGAAGCTCGCCTCGAAGGCCCTCGCCGCCTCCTGCTGATTGAGAATCGGATAATTATTGATGTCCGTGAGGGCCTCCCCCTCCCTCGGCATCCTGGGCTCGTCCTGCACGAGTGTATAATTCACCCTGAACTTTATCGGCGACTGAATGTCCCTGGTATTCTCCTTGAGATACACCACCTCCCTCTGGCAATGCATCACCTTCGTCGTGTCCAGCGTGACATTTCTGTTCACATAATGCGCCTTGTTCCTCCCAGCCTCGAACCAGACCCTCGAGAACTTCTTCTGTCCCATGAACGTCTCGGCCTCGATATGATAGTTCAACTTCAAATTCTGCATTCCCTCGTTCTGCCTCAAAGACTCGGTCTTGCAGCACGCCTCAAACTCGAAGCACGTGAAGTTCGACGAGGGGTCGGCAGGGCAGCCGATCCTGTTGGGATCGATGGGCTCGATTTTTTCGACGTAAGAGTTGTTCTTCGAGTACCTGATGAACGTCGTGATGTCGATGATCTTGCGGGCCCTCAGGAGGACAACGGCGTCGTTGTCGTAAGCCCCTATCAGCAGATCTGGGTAACCGTTCTTGTCCATGTCTATTCCACCACTCAGGGAGTAACCGAATGTCCGCAAGGGGACTGGGGTGTCCTCTGAGTGGATGACCTAGGATTCGAGGTGTTAAATCAGTGTTCATTCAAATGGGACTACAGATTAAATAAAAAATTATCCTTCAGATCAAATATTGAAAAATTATGAGCCCTACGAAAAGTTGACGCGAGGGAAATTTGGGGAGAATGAAATGTCGGAGAAGAAAAATCGAGGAAAATGTCGAGGAAGGTAAGACGGGCCACCAAATTTTAACCTGGGGTGTATTTGGATAACAGGGGCCTATATCTGTTTTATTCGAAATATCCTGAAGATCCCCAGATGACAACACAATGCAGGAAAAGAAAGATTGCATCCCTACCTGAGAGGGAGTCGTCAGGACTCCATTCTTGGACCCCAAATAGATGTAGACGGTGCCTTTTCCCTCGTAAGGGGCGCCGATAGCCAAATCCTCGAAACCGTCGTGGTTCAGGTCCCCCAGGTTAGCCAGGGCGAAGCCGAATCGGGACTCCTCGCGACCGACTAGCTTCGTCGGCCGGCACTTATCGGAGTCCCTGTTGCTGCGGCAGAGGGAGGTGTAGATGTAAACAGCCCCCTCTTCGAGTTTGTTGAAGTAAAAGGGGGCTGAAACCACGAGGTCGGTTTTTTTGTCACCATCCACGTCCAGGGCGGCTATTTCGTAGCCGAAGGACGAGGCGAACTGCTCGCCATCGAGGATCAGGGCCACGTCCATGTTGGGTCTGGGAAAATTGTTATTTTTCGTTCAATTCAGGATTAAATCTACTTGAAAAAATATCCACTCAACATTTACATTTTGGGTTTCATCTGATGAGGA